CTATTTCCGATTAGCGCAGCGAGTGTTCACAGCCTTCCAGCAAGCTCACACTGCAGGTAGCTCACACACAGGTAAGTATCCCGAACTTAACAGAATAGCAAATGTTCCGCACGCAGGTAATCAAAGTTCGCAATACTACTGGGCGCACACCGCAGCGCTCGAAGCTGTTTTCGATAGGAGTTCTCTCGGTGCATTCCTCCTCCCCTTCCCGAACGTCAACTGTTCCGCTGAGCCGCCTCCCGTTAAAGAGGCTAAGAGTTCGCGGATGGCCGAGACTTGTCTGCTCTCAAATCTATTTTCTCTTTCTTCAGCTATCTCAGCCGTACGCAGCTCTGGCCTCGCTCTCCCCTCACATTTCACTCACTCTCACCCGCCATTGTACTTACTTTCTCTCGTCTACCCCGTTCCGCTTTCGCTCGCCCGTTTCTTCCTTTTCCCTTGCCCCGGTCTCTCACCCGCTCCACTGAGTCTCCCGCTCTCTCTCTCCCTCTAGCGATGGAGCAAAATGCGTCTATCAATCAGTCCCGATGCACCTGCCCAAATTTGTTGCCCGATGCGCTAATTCTGTTATACCATGAACAACATTATTAAATTTTGCCTCTCTCCCCTTTCCCGAGAGCGCTCGCTCTACTTGGATTTTGCCATCCCAGCCCCACACGCCTCCAACCTCATCATCTCTCATCAGGGATTAGGGGGCAGTGGTGCGTGAAAATCACTTACCCGCGTAGATGACCAAGTGAACCTTCGCATGACCATGATCCTTGACGGGTTCCAACAATCGGAACAGCTGGTCTCTTTACTCTGGGGGAGAAAGATCTGATGACGTCACTCCGAATACGGCTGCCCCTACGTAACGAACTGGTTCGGTCTGAAGGTACTGTAGCTCTCGATCTCAGGTCGTCTCTTCACAGCGTGCCTCCATTCTGCAGCAGAAGCCAGGAGCAAATCGGAGAGCGTGGCGATCTTGTCAAGAGGGAGCGACTGTCGCCACAGTCGACTGCTCAATTGCCTGTGCTCTCAGCGAGTTCTTCCCGCTCAACGAACTCAACAGTGAGCAGCAGCTGGGGACGCCTGACTCACTTCGAACCCCGAACCCGCGAGTAACAGAACCTCGAAGCAGGTTGAACACGCACGGCTCACCTATATTAAACTGCAATCGTTGGCCGGGCACATCGTGCAGTCTTGCTCCGCGGCTCACTTGCGCTCCCCTGGCTTCACCATTCTCTCTCCGACCACCTCGCACGCACCTGCTTTCGATAGCGAGACATGCCTTACACGCTCCTCCCCAGCCACCGGGTCCGAATTGTTCATTCCTCCTGTTGACCGCATCTTGGGAGCGTTCGACCGCGGGCGGGGAACGCCTTGCGCTTCTCTCCTCCTACCCTCTCTTCCCAGCGATCGTCTCTTCCCGCGTGCTCAACCGCTCTGCGGTTTCCCTCTCTCCTCCTACACGTGGAGTAACCGCCTCTCGACTGGGTGTTCCCTCTGCTGCGCATGCGCGGGGGACACCTTGCATGCAAAAAAAAAAAAAAACCGATTGTGCTTTTCCGCCTGACTATATGCAGACCGCGTCCATTCCCACACACCACAGCAGGTCGAAGCAACCAGATCCTTGAGGCCTCAGGCCCCAAACACCGCGGCAGCTACCTCAGGCTTGACCTTCGGTCCACCCGTGCTAGTCTCAGTTTTTAGCATGCCTCGCCATGTCAAGCTCGTGGTGCAGTAGTCCCATGATATTTGAGTCCGAATCAATCTCCTCCAACCGTAGCTGCCCGTAGCAGTTTCAGTTTTGCCCCGTACGGAACCAATCCCGCGCCTGAATAACAAACGATACCACACAAAAACACCGTGATAACGCCGAGTCCGAAAACCACCAAGCTGGACTGCGGCAGTCGGGATCTTTTGCCCACCAATCTCAGCAAGAGCACCATACAACATCACAATCCTGTCGTGACGTCGAACCATTGCCATATTGAAACCGAGGCTGAGCCTATCCATACCGACCCAACGCCGAACCTAAAATGATCAATTCGAGTCACCGTAAGCCTTAGTGTGCCAATGTCTGTCTACGCCGAATGCCACGGAACGTTGCCAAGTTGGAACCACACCGATCATGAAATGCACTGATGGCGATTTGGCGATAATCGCTAGGGGTTGCGGCATCTTATAACTCATACCGTCTCGTTGCTGATCCTGAAATAAATTGCCGTAATGGCCCCGGACCTGAAAATAAGCCGTTGTGATGTCCCCGAGTCTGAGATAAATCATCGCAGTATCTGAAATGAACTACTGCCATGGTTCCGATCCTGAAATTAATTGGGGCAGTGACCCCGAATCTGATATAACGGGAGGCGACGTTACCGAATCCGAAGTGTCCCGACGTGACGATACCGAACCTGAAATAAGTCGTCGTACCAGTCCCGAACCTGACAACAATTCATGCCGTTGTGTCCGAACCTAAGTAGGCTGCCGTACGGGTCCCGAGCCTGGAAATAGACCACCATACTCATTCCGAACCTGAAAATAATTCCACGGCAGCGGCCACTGCCCTGAAAATAAGTCACCGTAGTGAAACAGTTGTTGCCGGCCCAATACCGAACCAGAAGCCCGTCGGATTCCATGGGATGCAGCCACTCCGCATCATACCGAACCTCTCAGAATCATGTACCCGTACCAGGCCAAAACCATTCATACTGTCGGTCCGAAGTAGCACCACCCCGTGTTGTCCATGCGACTCCCACTCTCAGAACATCCCAACTGCGGTAATGTTAGTAATCAAGCAAACCAACGCAGGGAATCTCGACCATTGGCAGTAGTGAAAACTGTTAGAATCCAGAGAAAATGATTAATCTGGGGTCAGAGCTGATGGCGGGTAATCGAGGCGAAATTAGGCCAATCTCCCAATAGTCCTGGGTTCCCGTCCCTTTCGTCGTTTTTTTTAATCATTCTTCCTTTTCCTTAATTCTATTTGTCGAAAATAGTAAATCAACCGTAGATTCCCCAAAATTAAATTCCGAAAAAGTTTAAATAAAAGGCCGAATCCCTTTTGTCCCTTTTCTCTTTTACCATTTCTAATATTTTTCTATGTTTTTAATTTCATAGCCGGTAACATAAAATAACAAGGGTATTTCCCCTAGAATCAAATGCAGTGAAAAATAAAGTAATAAGGGATATTATGTTTTTCTCTTCTCCCCTACTGGTCTTAATCCCTCTTCCCCATCTTTAATTATGGTACTAAAATAGACAGAAATTCAAGGCCTCATTTCGACCCCTGTCGTATGCTGCAGAAACGTTGCGGCGAGGTCAGTTCCCGCGATGCCTCTCCACGGCAGGCCAATCCAGGTCTAACCCTCTGAATGGCCGGAAATGACAGTCCCTAGATGTGTCGAGTGCGGCCATCCATTTCGCCATCTTTGTGGGTTACTCGTAAGGTTCAGTGCGCCCACAATCAGGGGTGCCCAAAGCTCCCCTAATTTTTGCTTCCTGGTCAAACCAGAGTACCATCAAAACTCGGACTTGCCTTTGAGCCTAAGTCCCAAAGCCGCAGATTTCAGGCGGCGCACTGCTTGTGGCCGCCTGACAGTTAGCCCGGACCACTTCTCGACGTCCCCGTCGAGCCCTAACCACTTACGTCAAACGAAGCGGACGAGCTCCAGGGTGATGGCCCGTAAAGGATGCCCACGTCGGCGTTTGATTGTCTTATGTTTCAGTTTGTTCTGAGTTCTAGGGCTAAGTAGATGTTTCTTAACTTCCTTTTTCCTTCGGGATCTCGACCTTGGTAGGATCCTCTTTTCCTTCTGACGTTGGCCCGAGGAAGGTGCCGACCCGCTAGTCTGTCTAATGCGAACTCTCCGTCTGGTCCTCTTGACCACGAATAACCATTTCTTCTCTCTTCCTAACGCTAACCCTTTGACTTTTCTTCTCTCCACTCTTTTCCTCTTCTTGGAACTTTCCCCTGCCTCTAACCGTCTTGAGGGAGCTCCATCCTCCATCGTGGCTTTTCCTTTCCCCTTCGGGCTTATCAGTGATAAGGTGGGTGCGTGCCTGGGTCTAAACAACTTTAACCTAGCACCGGCCACTGGGTCCTTCCACCTGGATCCGTCTAATTCTGCTATCATATATGCAGCCCAGTCGAGTGCCTCAACCACTCTGTAAGGTCCCATCCATCTGTTGGCGAGTTTTTCGGATCAGGTCCTCTCCAGTGCTGCGTCGTAGAGAAGGACCATATCCCCTACGCTCACCCTCTCTTTCTTGATCCGCACGCTCTTATCCCATCTCTGTTTACCTTTGTCCCTCTCCACTGCCAGACGATCTGCTGCCGTCATAAGGTTGTCTTCCAGACCGTAGGCTATCTGTCTCGTTCTGGCGGCTATGAGTTCCTCTCTGGACATCTTCTCCGCCCAGTCGACAGTTGTCCAGCTGTTGACGTGAAACTCTATGGGGAGAGGACAATGCCGTCCAAACCATAAGGTGTATGGTGGGTATCCAGTGTTAGCCCAGACCGTGACGTTGTCCGCCCATATTGCGTACCGAAAATATCGCGGCCAATCGTTGTCCTTCCCTTTGCACCACTTGGATAGTGACGCTATTAGGGTCTGATGGCCCCTCTCTACTGGAGAGTTCGATTGTGGGTGGTAGGCAGTGGCTATCGAAACTCTAGCCCTGACTCTCTTGAACACACTCTGAACCTCGTCAGCTAGAAATTTTGCCCCTCTGTCCATCACTATCTTGCTTACACAACCATACCTAGACAAGTACTCCAGGACGAAGTTCTTCACTTTCTTTGCTGCCTTGCTTCTGATAAGTCTATCGTCCACGAACCCAGTGAAATCGTCTCGTATGTTCACGACGTAGTTCATATTGAAGTGGCTCTTTGTATTTCACAAGAGCTCTCTTCTGACACTCCTCGCAAGTTATACAGTATCTTTCGATGTCCTTATACTGTCTTTCCAACCAGTACAACCTGCGTACCTTTTCGTAGATCCCTTTGACTCCTCTATGTCCTCCGACTACCCCGTCATGAAGCTCTGCAACTATCGTCGGCCTCTCCGCAGGATCACAAACTACTCGTAGGGGCATCCCTGACCCGAATGGTCTCCGGAACAGATGGGCCGCTCTAAGACAGTACTGGGCCGCTTGTCTCCGGATGTCTGAATCTTGACTCTCCTCTCCTGACAAATGTTGCCCAATCGTTCGGTATTTGCCCTCGTAAAGGTTAACCAGAAATCGTTCGGCGCGTCTCGGCTCAACCATTGTCAGGGTTCCAGCTACTATCGGACGCTCGCCCTCAAGAGGGATCTGAGAAAGCCCGTCCCCCACAACATTTTTAGTGCCAGATATCCTCTCAACTGTGTAATCATATAGCCGAATCCGTATTAACCATCGTGCGATGGTCGGGTCTATCAGACTAAAGTCCTTCTGGAGGACAGAGGCAACTGCTGTGGGGTCCACTCTCAAGATGAATCGTCGCCCATAGATATAGTGTCTGAACGTGTCTAGACACCGCAAAACAGCTAACACTTCCTTCTTGAATTGATTGTAGTTGCGCTCAGCCGTATTAAGTGTTCTACTCTCAAATCTTAACGGTCTTTCCTTCCCTCCAACGTCCTTCTGAGACAACAATCCACCTACTGAACAAGGTCCAACATCCGTGGATACTATGAAGGGTCTCCCAGCCTCATTATCAAAGAATGGCATGCCCAATACACGTCCTCCCTCCTTAAATTCGTCTTTAAGTTCTTGCATAGCGAGTTCCTGCGAGGAATCCCAGTAGAATTTCTCAGTCTTTCGAAGGAGTAACCTTAATGACTCAGCCTTCTCCACATACCCCCGTATGAATATACGCCAGTAACCGACCACTCCCAGAAACTGCCGGACCTCGGTTTGACTATGTAACGGTGACGACCAGTTCAAGAGTTTGTCTAGCTTCGCCGGATCTGCTCGGCGTCCTCTTGAGTCACATGTAAAGACCAAAATCTTAATAGTCGAGACGGCCCATCGGCTCTTTGTTCCGCTGACCGTCAAATTCGCATCGTCCAGCTGCTCAAGTACCGCGCAAATATCTGTTAAGTGCTGCTCGACGGATCTTCTAACTCCTGGTACAACCTCTGTCTCATCCTTGTTTACTGACTCTTTTATAGGAAAGTCATCCAGAAAAAGTTCAATCTTATCAGGGATGAAGTCCTTGAGGACGACTACCATGACTCTCTGAAAAACGGCTACCCCATTAGTCCAACCCATAGGGACAACCATCATCTGTATCAGTCCTAGTGGCGTGTGCATAGCCGTGAGGTGCCTGTCCCTTGGATCAAGCGGTACTTCATCATAGCCTGACAACATATCACAGACCGAATAAATCGACCTGCCTTCGGCCAGTAAGTCAGCATGTGGCACGGAGCCCACGTCTCGTATCGTCACCTCGTTCACCTTCTGAAGGTCCTGGATCCATCGGATCTTGCCATTCGGTTTCCGTAGGAAGAACCATCGATTAGCGTAGGCAGTATCAGACGACTCCGCAACATGGGAAACCATCTTTTCTTTCAGGAAAACGATAACTTCTTTCTTCTCCTTCTGGGCGTATTTCCATCCTGCGTCATTCCAAGGAACATGTGGAATCGTGTAAATCCTTGCTGGCTTAGCGTATCGAGGGTCAACCCTACCGCGCTCTGCGTCGCTGAAAACTATTGCCTTATCACATGTCTTCAAGATTTCTATCACGCGTTCTCGCTCCTGTGGGGTCAGATTTCCATCTCCGATGTCCATCTCTGCTTCCTCTCTTCCGATAGACGTTGCGGCTCCTTTTTCTTTCTTTCTTTGATTTCTTTTGCGATCTCTCCTTCCGATATCCCTTCCAGTGCAGATCGCTCGCGGCCCACCGCCGCTGGCTTAACTTTTTGTGCTACTCGCTTGTGTCGCTTGGGTAGTCCCCCATAGGGGGCCGTGCCCTTAAAAAAGACGCAGATACCACCCCGCCAAATTCCTCATCTGCCTCCTTTGGGTACGAGTTGCCGTCCACTATCAGCCGACTCTCTAAATCTTCGACCTCCACGATCCGACCTTCTTCCTATGTGAGCAGTGGTCCATACTTCCTCTTGCGAAATCACACCGCGCGGCCGGAGATAGGCAATGACTTAATCTGATCACTGGGTCTTGCACCCACAACGAGAGTTGCTCTGTTCCTCGGGTCCCAAGGCTCCACTGTCTCAATCATAACCCGTGCCCCATCTAGCTTCTTAATGGACAATATCTGGCTCCCATCCGGTCGCTCTATCGTCACCGCGTGTACGTGGCTCAACCATGTTCGTCCCAAGAGCAGATTGGAGCTGCAGTTCTTGACTGCAAAGACAGGCAGGGTCACTCGTACCCCTTGGACCTCTATGGCAGCCTTGTGACAAACCCCAGTGATCTGTTGCTTTCTCCCATCAGCCGTCTCTATCTCTAATAGGTAGGACCTATCGAGGCCCAGTCCAACCTGCACTGCTAGATCCTCGTCTATAATGACAGCTTCACTGCCGTTATCGATCACAACATCTAGTACCGCTCCGTCATTTATGATCGCCTCCACGGCCCCACTACCAAGTATGTAAAATTTGTCTGGAGGCACACCTTCCATCCCATAAAAAAGGACTGTCGCCATGCGATCTGCTCTGGTAGTCACCCCCGTTACTGCTACTGTAGGAGCGTCCGCTTTAGGAGCCCCCTGAGCCTCCTCTGATAGAGGTATACGAGTCTTCTGCGTGATCATCTGTAACTCATCGCGAGCCGGCTTCGATGCCGCTAGGTACTCCAGAATAGAGCACTACATGGGCTGTCGAAGGGCCCATCTCAGTGGCTCGACCATGTCAATCTCATCCAGCGAACTCTTCATCGAGAACTTCTTCACTTCCCGCTTTCGCGGCGAAAGAATAACCTCATCTCCATTGATCTGCTGTCCGTCCTTCTCCGCCATCACGTAATCCGTGTCGGTCATCTTCGATGTAGACCCTCTTGCGGACTTAGTAGCTGCCACCCTTATGGGTGTGGTCGCCATGTCTCCTTCGAAAGTTATCTTGATGCTCTGGCTCCTGACCCGCTCCTTTCCTTTACTCGGCTTTACTCTCCTTGCTTCGACATTCTCCTTCATCGAAGGGAACATCGATACGTCTCCCAGATGATCCGCGCACTTGACGTACTTGCAGTCATCAAGCACGACAAGTCCTTCATGTATTGCCCGCTTGAGATCCGGATAATCTCTCTTGATATGATCATCGCCTCTGCAGTAGACGCAAGAGTTCCTAGGAGTGGATGGCCTGTCATTTGCGCTCCTAGAGATCGAACCCCTGGCTGCTCTGGGGTCTGGGGACTTGGGATACGGTTCTGATGACGCGCCATATTCCCCTCTCTCATTCCTGCTGCGCGAATCATTGAGGCGGTCTCCATGTTCGTTTCGCCCGCGTGAATCATCACGTCGGTCTCCTCGGTCGTATCGCCCGAGTGAATCATCACGTCGGTCTCCTCGGTCGTTCCACGCGCGTGAATCATCACGTCGGTCTCCTCGGTCGTTCCACCCGCCTGAATCATCACGTCGGTCTCCTCGGTCGTACCACCCCCGCGAGTCGTCGCGCTGTTCTCTCGCGAATCCCCCGCGGTCATACCGTCCGCGCGAGTCATTTTGTCAGCCTCTGTCTCGATCTCCTCTCTCATACCTGCCTCCCCTGTATCCATCTCGATCCCTCCTCTCATATCTGTCATCCCTATATCTGCTCGGTCCGATCTCTCGTATCTGCCATCCCTGTATCTGTCTCGCCGGCCCTGATCTGACTCCCACCGGCCTCGAGAGTCGCTTCTGCCCCCATTAGTCTCCTAGCTCGCCCATACGCCTCGCGAGCCCTACGGTCCCGGTCTATATCATCATCCCTACGTCGCCATGGCTCATCGTCTCTTTCCCTTTCCCTCGCACGATAATCAGTTAGCGTTTGAGGATTTTTATCCTCGACACTCCTCCAGGAATCGGTGTTCCTTCGGTCCCAGCGAAGTGAGTAGGGCCCTCCGGGTTTGTCCCGGTAAGTCGTGGCTCCTATGGTGGTCACAATCTCGGTAACCTGTCTTGTCAATCACTTTATCATGTCCCTTATCTCCTTAACTTCCTCAGCCACAACTTCATTCTTTTTCGACCAGGGATAGTCCTTGAAATCAGGACATCTATCAGTGACATACTCCTTGTAGAGAGAGAAGTCACGTCTCCTCATTCCTCTCCATACCAAGTCTTTATAGTCATCTGCTTTTGCCTTTATCGCGAGCTTTTGGACTTCAGGGAAGTCAAGCTTGTCGCGCGGAAGATCTCTAAGTATGCTCTTTTGTCTACCTTTGAACAGGTGTCCAATGAAGATAGTACAGCGCTCGACCTCYGAGATCTTCCCCTTCTTCATCAGCACGTCAGAGATCTTGTGAAAACGATTCCCAAATGCCCGTACGCTCTCATCTTCATCTTAAGTCATTGTCTCAAGGTCCTTGATGGAGTACTTGTTATCCTCCAATTTGTAAAGCTCAACGAGGTTCTTCTTGTATGTAGTCCATTTCCCATCCTTTGGTTGAGCTTGCTTAACTTCCTTACCGAGACTTGGGTCCATATTAAATAGGAAATTCTCTATAATCTCTTCCTCCGACCACTGACTCCGGCTGGCGTGAAGCTCCCACTTCTCCAGATATTCTGTAATGCCATAGCCCTTGAAAGTAAGAGGTTCTAAAGCCTTGTGTGTAATATGAAGCGATCCTTGCTCTCGTAAGGGAGTGGGTGTGATTCCCCCGTTTGGGGGTCGAGGACACGCCACGGCGGTGCTCTATCTCTATCTCTGTCCCTCCAATAGGAGTCCCTCGAACTCTCTTGCCAGTCGTCCCTGTGCCTATCCGCCATGGTTTCTCTCCGCTCATACTCGGGGGAGCGTCGTCTCATCGCTTCTTGTCGGCCGCTCGAGGTTTCTGTCTTCAGAGTCTCCTGCGGCTCTGTCACGACTGGCTCGCCCATAACGTCGGGCTCTCCGTCATTGGTTTGGTCAGTCCATCTCAGCGGTGCTTCCCGCCTAATTCGTTCCTTCAGATCCATCAGAGCTCGGTCGGGCGATGTCTTGTACTCCTCCCCCGCTTCGCCCGTGGTCGGTTGTGGCCCCATCGTGTCTGGTTCCATAGGCCACCAGAAGACGCAGTTAGGTACCCTCGCCGGGTGTTTCAGCCCAGACCTATGACAGTTGCTGCAGCCCGGACCTGTGACAGATCTCACAGCCCGGACCAGTGATAGTTGTGGCAGCCCGTACCTGTATCCTTGTCACCGTTTGCGTCCGCCTCCAATCCTAGCTTTTGACTGCCCCGATTACCGCCACCAGTACTCCGTTTTGGTCGCGGATCTCGTGCTCTCCCTCTATCCCAAGAATCCCTATGTCTAGGTAAACCTCTCCTTCGGGATCGACCAACAAGGCCGCGCCTCTCTGGATCTGTTGTACACCCGTGACATGATCTCTACGCCTGCGGCAGATCGTGGTACCAAGCCTAACCAATATCTCCTGATCAGTACCCCTCAAGAGCCTCCGAGCGTCTATCTCCGTCCTCCTTGCTAGGTCTCCTAGCCCGTCCTGAATCGGGTAGCCCGCTGAAGGTGGAAGCGCTCCTCCTACTGCCATCCAAAGTCGCTCGCCGACCTTTCTGACCTCCACTATCTTTCCAAGAGCTTCCAATCTCTATTTCTCCTCCTTTAACTCCCAGACGGCTATGAGGTCATCTGTCTAGCACCTGAGTTAAGTCAGTGCTATGACCACTCGTAACCTCATCGCCGACAACTCCAAAATGTCATAAAATCTCTCAAAATCCTCCTCATCTCCACTATCCTCTATGGCCTCTAAAGTCTTTATCGACTCCCTCCAGTACCGATCGTGAGCGGCTAGCACCCTGAGTATTGCACCGTCTGTTACAACTCTCCTTAGCTCTCCAGCTTTCCTGGCTTCGCTTATCTTCAACCTCTCAGCCTTCCTGGTCGTCTCATACCATGCCCTTATCCGAGACCGCCCTTCGAAAGGTGTCACTCGGAGTACGTATTTTATCCTTCGTCCTCCTTCTAATCCAATCCAAAGTCCTGTCCCCCTAGCCTCACGCAGCGCACGACGGACACACTCTGCCTCCTCAACTATGCACAGTCTGGTGTGGAGCTGAAGCTCGACGATCACTAACACCAACAGTCTGTCCAGTCTCCCTACCACATGCAATGAGTACCGATCTGTCATGTGTAGTGCAGTCCCGCTCATGTCCTGTCGCTACCTCCCTGTGTTACCTTATCCTCCGTTGTCACGTCCTCTGCAGACCTCTCCCTAGTTCCTTCGCGTGATACGCTCCTAGCTTTTACCCTCTCCAGAAAGTCTGATCTCCACGCCTGGATAATCTCTCTTTCCTCCCTAAACAAACTCTCTAACTCTTTCGTCACGAGCTCAGCCCTACGCAACTTACCCTCATCCTGACACGGCCAGATCTCCCTTAACTTGTTCCCCAACTCCTTTACCTGGTTCAAGAGTGGTTCTGTAATGCGCTCCCTCACTCTTTCGACTGCCTCACTCTCCTCTTCCATACTCAGTCCTCATCTCTTTCCAGCTCATCCTCTCACCCTCGCTCTAGCCTCCGCTACCGTCTCGTCGTGGAAGTGCTCCGCGCGCATATAACCATGAGACCATATCATCACATCATAGGAAATCGAGGTCTGGAAGGTCACCTGCGCCAGTACATCAGCTCTATGCTCGTGGATCAAATCCCTGGCTCGTTGTCGGCACTCCCTAACCGTCAAGTCCTCGTCTATGTACGCTCGGAGAAGTACCATCACAGTGTA